AAAAAAAAAAAAAAAAAAAACAAAAAAAACAAGAATCTCTATTATTCAAGAGAATAGCTCTCCATAAACTTACCAAGGCCACGTTTGATAATTATTTAGTTTTTAAAATTTCGATCTTGAAAATTAGATGATAAATACTACTTTCTATCTTGAAAATCATAATGACTATCGGTATTGAAAATTAAGATGATAAAATTTCAGTCTAGAAAACCATTTAGTTATTATCAGCTTTCTATCTATATTTTCCAAATTCAAGTCAAGTTTTCTTAAATTCATTTTTGTTTTTGGAATTTAGCTAATAATAGAAATGTTTGTTTAAGAGAAGTGAAGATCATAGTAAAGAAATTTTTGAGAAACAAGCACAAATTAAGAAAAGTAAAAATCAAAAACAAAATTGATATCCAATAGGAGCAAACCAATTAACGACTAAGGAGAAGCTACTACTAATAACACTGCATCAGAGTTGCTCACAGACATTGAAAATGGGTTTGGAAGAAAGATTGTTCTTACTAATTACAACCCAATAAAAACCCTCCGGCACCATCCATTACCAAAGCATCCAGCAATCAATAAAAGGGAACAAAAAAAAGGGGGGGAAGAACAGAAGTACCGCGACGGTGAGACCTCGGAAGATATCAAGCGACGCAACACGCTTCGATTTTACTGGTTTTGAGAGCACAGCATCGGACTCCACCGAGATAAGGCGGTGCTGAGGAGTGGAATCGGACTTGATTTCTTCCATTGAAATGAGCTGCAAAACTGAAGTGGATTAGCTCAGCTGAAGCTAAAACGACGGCCAATGATTGATTTGTAAAAGGGGAAAAGGGAATTTACAGGTTCAGAAATCTCGTTTTGACTGTTACCGTCATTCATGAACTCCAATGATTTCTTGTGGAGTTGACTTTTCTTGAGAATCAGAAATGGACAAGGAAAGCTCGGAATTCTGAAAGCTCCTGATTTCTTGGGGAATCGTACGGCAATGCGGGTTCCTCTTCCTGCGGGGGCGGGTCTTTCTCTCTTGTTTCTTCGAGAAGAATCTAATTTCATGGTTTAAATACTAATTTTATTTAGTTGTAATTTTAAAATGGTTTTACCCGAAAATGAGATAAATAGTGGATGGATTATAAATCTCAAATATTTTTATTATAATTTATTATTATCTATACAAAATATATAAAGTTCTCCACTTTGTCTATTTTATTTTAATTCACGTAATTTTAATGATCTAATTGTAATTTTTTAAAGTTAGAATAATATAAAATTCAGTTTTTCAATTGTCTAATTTTTTTTTTTTAATTTTGAATAAACAGAAAAAAAATTAGTTATAAATCTTTAGTTCACTCATTTAAAATTAAATTTTTTACTGAATTGATTAAATAATAATAATAATAATTTTCAAGTAAGAAAAACTTTAAAACTCAAAGATTAATATAGGCTATTTAAAAAAGAATCAATATGGATTATATTAAGACTTATAAAAAAATATAGTGACTAAATTGAATATTTAAAAATATAAAGAATAAAACTCAAATTACAAATTTAGACCTTGCTTTTGGTTATTGAAATTTAAATTCTGTTTCATTTTAGGTATTAAAATTTGAAAAGTGACGTATTTAATTTTGTCATAAAATCTGAAATTTTCAAATTAGTCCTTGAAAATTGAAATTATTTTCTAAATGGCCCAGAATATAGTTATTTAAAAAAATCGTTTATTTATTTTTTAAACTCATAAATCAATAAAATTAAGGGAAATGAGCAAAAAAATATTTTTTTTTTCTTGCCAAATTTTTCATCAACTTTTAAAATATATGTTTCCTAATTGAATTATGATGAATATCATTTATAACTTTTTTTTTTTTTTCCTTTTATGTTTGCTAATAATAAAATCCCATTTTAAATTATCCAAGTATAGATAAAGTACCAATGATCATTCTAAATGTTGAGAATCTAATCACTACTTCGTAATTCTTGAGAAGGGATATTTGTGAGGCAGATTAAAGGCAAAGACCAAGACCCCTTGCGTCTCGACAACGCACCCTTGCATGGAGAAGGAGAAACCCTAGAAGACTCCCACGGTAGGTCAACAGCCGTCTATGGTAGCCGAATTGTTGAGAGGAGACTTTAAGACCCCATGTGTCTCGCCAACGTTCCCCTGCATGGAGAAGGAGAAACCCTAGAAGACTCCCACAACAGGTCAAAAGCCCTCTACGGTAGCCAAATTGTTGAGAGGAGACTTAAGACCCCTTGCGTCTCGCCAACATTTCCCTACGTAGAGAAGGAGAAACCCTAGAAGACTCCCACAACAAGTCAAAAAGCCATCTACGATAGCCGAAATGTTGAGAGGAGACTTAAGACCCCTTGCATCTCACCAACATTCCCCTGCATGGAGAAGGAGAAACCCTAGAAGACTCTCACAACAAGTCAAAAGCCTTCCAAGAGGAGACTTAAGACCCCTGGAGTCTCACCAATGTTCCTTAGAGAAGGAGAAACCCTAGAAGACTCTCACAACTTGTGAAAAGCCCTCTACGGGAGTCAAATTATTGAGAGAAGACTTATTGCATCTCGCCAACGTTCCCTTGCATAGAGATGAAGAAACCCTAGATGACTCTCACAACAGGTCAAAAGCCCTCGGCGAAAGCTGAATTGTTGAGAGGAGACTTAAGAACCTTTGCGTCTCGCCAACATTCCCCTACATAGAGAAGGAGAAACCCTAGAAGACTCTCACAACAGGTCAAAAGCCCTCTACCGAAGTTGAATTGTTGAGAGGAAACTTAAGATCCCTTGCGTCTCACCAACGTTCCCTTGCCCCCAAAAAGACTCCCACAATGGGTCAAAAGCCAAAGAAGACGGCGATTTCCATACGCATGTCAAAATTCACAACAGGGGTTAGAGTACGTGTCGGCGCTCTTTTGATGCTTGGACGGTCAGTGTCTTTGTTGTTATCTGAATGCTTGAGTCTCTAAATTGTTCATGTTTTTCCACGTGGGGGCCAACAAATCAAACCATTGCTCGTGATCCGAGGAATGGAAAAGCAAAGATACTATGATATGAACGAACTCGTCATAGAGGACCCTCCAAAAAACTACTACTCGTACCTCAACACCAGGTGCGCTTCAAGCTCACCCGACTAGCCTAATGAACTACCTCAGCAGCAAGACGAGTCTACGACTCAAAGCTACAAGACACTATACATTGATCGCCTAGTGGAAGGTAAAAGAAAAAAGGTAGAATTTGTTGGAGATGAATCAATTAGTTGGGATGTTCACATGTCACGAAGATCTTAACGGGTGAGAAAGAAGAGGGAAAAGAAGAAGAGTGTGAAAGGGAAGGAAGAGGTTAAAAGTATAAATGATAAAGAGAGAATTTCTCACCTCACAAAAGTAAAAAAAAAAAAAAAAAAAAAAAAAAAAAAAAAAAAAAAAAAAAAAAAAAAAAAAAAAAAAAAAAAAAAAAAAAAAAAAAAAAAAAAAA